TAATCCCATCCAGTAAAATTTTCATTTCAGAAAATATATTCTTCACATTTATTTTCTTATGTTTAATTTCCTCTATTTTTGTGTCTTTAAATACATCTACTATCTATTTTCATGTTCTTTGATAGTTTTGTCACTTTTGGCATTTTCTATATCTTTCTTCAGACTTCTTTGTTTTTCCTAGTTATAGGTCAGTTTTTTTTTTTTTGTTCTTATGTCTAGTAATTTTTGATTGAATGATAGACAATTTATTATGTTGATGAGTGTCTGGATTTTGGGGAGCTTTTTTTCCTAGAGAGTTTTGGTCTTTGTTTTGGCAAATAGTTTAGGTGTTTGCAGGTTTGTTTAAACCCCATTTAAAGTTTTGTTAGGCCCACCTGCATTCTAGGGGTATCTCAGAATAGTGTTCATCTTTGCTGAATAACACAGGAATCCCCCAAGGACTCTTCACTTTGGCTCTTTGAATATTTCTCTGCCTTTTCTGAGCTCCTGGAGGTGTTTATCTTACCCTCCCTGGTATCTGTCTGTCTTTTCCTCATTTTTCTCCCTCCCTTCTCCTCTTTTTCTCCTTTCTTTTTGCCTGTCCATGTGGAATTTCATTTTTCCTTTCCCTGACCTAGTATTCAGCAAAGACTCAAGGAACCCGTTGTGTAGATTTCCGCAGTTCTTTTCTGCATTGCTCCATTTTCCTTTCTTTCTTTTTTTTTTTTAAAATTCTGCGCACAACCTCAAGGTACATCAGCTTTCCTGAACTCCTGTCTTTAACTCTAATGCTGCTAAGCTACTGAGTTCTGTTTTGGTTTTCTCTGACTCTGTCCATGATCTAGAAGTCACCTTCAGGTAGATAATTCAGATAATTATTAAACTCACTTTGTTTTCCTTTTTTCAGAGATTACAGTTCTGTGTTACCTGATATCTACTATCTGGAGACAATTGTTTTATATATTTTAGCCCATATTCTACTTTTTAAAAGTGAGAGTTCATGTCTGTTACTTGTTATTTTTTCACGGCTGGAAGACTAGTTATTTTCTAAAGCTATAATTACCAATTATATTACTAGGTGTTGTGTTCCCAATAAAGACCATCTTTCTATCTTTAGCTCATAGAAGAGATTAAATATTTGTTAATGATGTCTTTGATTAGAAAAGGCACTAGTATTTTCTGTGGTGAAAGTTTTTATTTCAATTCTTATACTCTGAATTAAAAAAAAATTCTCATAGGTAGTTGTGGTCTGCTTTAAAAATCACTTATTAAACTTTTAAAAACCATTTTTGTGAAAGAGTTCCATATTATGGCAAGAAAGTACCAAAATTTAACTTGCCCAGAATCAACATTTCCTCTTCTCATGATAGCATTCAACCATATCTAAATTACTATTATTATTATTATTATTGGGGAAGGGAGGGAGAGAAATATCAATGTGTGATTGCCTCTCAAGTGCCCCCTACTGGGGACCTGGCCTGCAACCCAGGCATGTGCCCTGACTGGGAATTGAACCAGTGACACTTGGTTTGCAGGCCAGCACTCAATCCACTGAGCCACACCAGCCAGGGCCAATGTCTAACTTATTTTGACCTTAGTTATCCAGTTTACAGGATTTTTTTAAGACCCTTTCCTGCCACTTTTCTTTCTGTTCCCTACTTTTTCTTTCTTTCTTTCTGCTCACATCACTGTTAAGGAGCCTGCATGATGGGAAGAATAGACAGCTAGCATACATGCAAATAAAAATTTTTAATAATAATTTTTAAATTTATTAAAAATTATTTAAATAAATAATAATGTTGCATTATTTGTTTTAATAATGTTTAGATGTTGTCAAAAGTAATGTCAATGTCTTGTTTTAGATTTCCATGGCTGTTAGAAATAGAATTTTTTTCTTTTGGTGTCTGCTATGTACAGGTGTTTAATTGACTATCATTCTTTAACCTGTCATGGATATTTGAAATACACCAGGAATTTGAATAATCTTTTTGATCTGTTATAGTGGGAACATGAATACAGTAGAGAAAAGACAATAGGGAAATAAGGTGACATTCTTCATTGCCCGGAATCACTGGGTTTTATACTAATTAACGTTGAAAAATGTAAAGTTATTTGACAGACCAGATGTTTTCGGCATGCAGCCATGTGTCTCATCAGTGAATGTGCCTTGTGTCTGCAGGCAACATTGTTAGATTTTTCTCTTTCTATAAACAATGTTCCAAAATATAACTAAACCCCAAAGTGTGTTTATCTTTTTGGCTTAATTTCTGGCTTTCTATCCATCCTAAAGTCTCTCTAGAGGAATTGCTTTTTATTGCACATAGCTCTTTGTACCTAATTGTACTATAAACACCATTCTGTTTACACTAAACCATGTGAATTGCACCGTTTTTGAGTCTGTAAAATTTTAATAAAAGCAACCATTTCAGATTAAGTTATATTTGTATTTTTTATTTCTAAATTTAGAAGAAAAAACTGTTTATTCCCTTTGTGTATTTGGACTAACTTTTTGAATTTTGGAACACATGAGGGAAAAACAACAACAAAAACATAAAGTAAAACCAATCTCTAGTCTTTAGTGTTTGTGGTACTAAGTTCATTTGAACAAGAGGAGATTAAGTATCTACTGTGTAATTCACTCTTAAAATCTAAAAAAGGGCTATAATCCTTTATTTATAGATTTGGAACTGAGTTTTTCCTATACTGAACATGTCATTGGAAATTAAAAACAATTATCAACCATTTGTTGCTATCCAAAGGAAAAAAGTAATGGTTATCATTTTTAAATATACTTTTCTAATCATTTTTTCTATGTACTTATGTGTGGGTATGTTTAGTGATATACAGCTCATGCATGCATCTATACTCATAATCTATGCATGTATACATTTTTTACTACAAATCAATTTTTATTATTTACACATTTTTAAAAAATTTGTTTGACTTTGTTAACAAAGAAAGCTACCCTAATGGCAGATAAACCTGAATTCTTGAACCTGAATCTAACCACTAAGATTACATGTACTGAATAGTTAACATTCTTAGAGTAGATTTAGTCTTTAAAAACATTTTTTATTGTATTTTTTCCCATTACCATTTAGTCCCCTTATACTCACCCCCCTCACAATCACCACACTGTTGTCCATGTTACATATTTATAATTTTGAAAAATGTTATGATTATACTTGTAAGTACTGTTTTGGAATAATTGTCATATAACAGTATTATAAATATTTTGCTATCTTATTAGTCTTTTACTACATGGGTATATCATAATATGTTTAATTGCTTGTTATTAGACATCTAGATTAGTTTCTTAAAAATAAGTGTAACTAATTCAAGAAGCTTATGCATGTTTTTGTACATCTAGTTTTGGGTTTTTTATTTGGCAAATGCAAATGTAGAACACTTGTTTTGGTAAAATTCTTTACTGAAAACTTGTATCACTAATACAAATTTGTTTACTAACAGGCTGTGAATTATCATTTATTGAAACCCCTGAAAATAATACCCATAATCTTTTAAGAAATCTTTGTCAGTTTGAGTGACAAAATTATGTTTTTGATTTGGATTTCTTCACATATCAGTTCAATTCCTTTTTTTCATATGTTAGCCTTGTTTGTTTTAATTCCTTGGAATCTTTTCTTGGTTCATGCTTTTTTTTTTTTTAAAAAAAACCCCTCAATTGTATATGTTGCAAATAATCTTTACCAGGTTGTTGTTTCCTCTTTATTCTCATTATGTTCTTTTTATGCATAATTCATTTTGTTTTTACCTAGTCACTTTTATCATTTAGTATACTAAATATTATCATTAGGTAATTTTTAGGATGCTATTTTAAAATACCTCTGTTAAATTTTCTAATTATTTTTGGAGTTATTTCCTTAGAGGCTGCTCTGTGGATTATAATTTCCATCTTAATTTATTACAGTCTACTTTAGGTCATTGTTAATACAATTTTGGTATAATATAGTAGTAGTTTCGTTTCAGCTTAGCTCCATTTCTTCCTTCCTCTTTTGTACTATTTTGTCATATATAATACCTATATATGAGGTCTGTCCAGAATGTATCCAGTAATGTAATATGAAAAATAGAGACATTTACTGAAGAAGATAAAAGATAGAAGAAACATTGTATGCAGGACAATGATGCCTCAGTCCCCTTCAAAGTAGGCACCTTGTGACCTCACACTTTTCTCCCAGTCACTGTCAGCTGCCCCATCATATTTTCCTGAATCTCATCCATGGTTTGAAATCTCTTCCCTTTCAAAGGTGAATATAGATTTGGGAAAAGGCTGGAGTCACAGGCCACCAAATCTGGGCTGTACTGGGGCTGAGTCACCTGGATGATTTAGTGTTTCACTAAAAAACTCTGCTTGGGATGTGATGCATGAGCTGGTGCATTGTCATGAAGAAGCTGCCAATCACCAGTGGTTCACAGCTGTGGCCTTGTGAATCATCCAAATAGTTTCTGTATAGGAATGTTCAAGCTTAATGCAAAATTTGATGCAGATTCGTTGCTCTACTTGCTCAGTCATTTTGAATGTGATGGCCACACAGTGCACATGCTTACTCAGTGGCATCCACTACCCCAACTGGCTAGTGAAGGGAAGTTTTCATTGCTTACACATGCACATTCCCATTCACTCTCCTAGGCTGCCAGGTTACATCTATATTGCGCAAACCATTCTTGTTATATTAACTATGGCTGGACTTTTTCTGGACAATGGTTGATTCTGGATAGACTCAACAAGTGTTATGACCATTACTTAAAAAAGAATCTCATTTTTGAATGAAATTAAAAGAAAAGAGAAAAATATTTTTTGATTATAATGTCTTTTAATGCATATATTAATTGTTAATAATTTGAGATTTTTCCATTGATGTCTTTATTAAAATAATACTGGATATGTCTTAATGCGAAATGAAGACTAATTCAGGCTAGAAATTTTGCCTGAGGAATGTATCTGTGACCCTAAAGCAGACTGAATTGAGCTAAAGGTGATACAATTCCTTTTATAGGCATTATCCTGCACTGAAAACTCTGGAACATCTAGAGCATACCTATCTGCCTCAAGTAAGCCACTATCGATTCTGCAAAGTGATGGTGGATAACATCCCCAAGCTTCGAGAAGAAATTAAGGATGTCTCTATGTCTGATCTCAAAGACTTCCTGGAAAGTATTCGCAAACATTCGGACAAAATTGGAGAGACTGCCATGAAGCAAGTAGGTCTTGGGTTTATGATTGGTTGGTTGATGACTATGAAAATATTTTGTTAAATTCTTTTGCTAAGTGTCTTAATTATTTCTTGTCATTTTAGGGAAGTCCTTCATCTTTATGGGAACATATAAATTAAAAATGTGTTTTATTTTCTTAACAAAGAAATGAATTAGTTTCATTTACTTACTAGTATATATATTTTCTTGCTCTGTGCATTTTCAGTAAAGAATGATCATACTGATCAATTGTGGTGATTTATACTGGGGCTTTGAAGAGGGTTTTTCTTTTTTATTACTTTCCTTGGCTTTGGATATGATTTGAAGCCCCAGATTTTTAAAAGTTCTCTTCCCAGTTAATGAGCTAAATTGTGCTGCAGATACTTTTGGTTGATTATTTACAGTGTAAACAAGATGTCATGCTATACATTTGAATATTTCTGTAATTGTTATTTCTGATATCATTGGGTGTCAATGAAAAAGGCCCACTGGGAAATGCTGTGAATTATGATCATGGAGAGGAATTTATTTACAGCCTACAAGTTAACAAATGTGTTAGAAATATTTAGATTTTTTTCTTTAATTTATTTATCTTTAAGTCACCAAAGCCACTAGGGATGTCTGGATTTCTTTTGTCATTAGGAATAAAAGAGCAGGGATGATTTGCAGTGCTACTTGCTTTTTTGAAATTTGAGTCACATTCTTTTTTTAAAAATTTCTCAATATACCTTATGATGTAGCCTGTGACAGTAAATAGAAGATTCATTTATATATGGAAAGCATTTTTTGTTTGTTTGTTTTTTTGATTCTGTATGCAACTGTGTTTTTAAAAAGTCATTTGTAGTTTTATTCTGTGAGGAAGGAGGGAGTAGGTTATATTTGGGTCATATATTCAGTCTCAGCTGGTCTTGGTAATCCTCTTTCAGATGTCTGTGTGCTTCTGCCAAAGAGATTGGTCTACTGAGAATCCCTTTCCTAAGAGAAGGCAGATATTCTTTCCCTCTTTCTTTTTAACTTTGTCAGTGTTATACTTTACAAAGCAGAAGGTTTAAAGTTAGTTGATGATAAACCTGGTAGAAATAATGATATCATGTCTTTTTGTGTGTGTGTGGTGGAGAAACAAAATTAATCATTGAAAATACACCTTTGCACTAATGGGTGCTGATTATGGCAATGAAGGGGTCCTGTGAGATGTCTTTATCGTGGTCGACTAATTTTTCCTAAACTTCCAAAATACAGGACAGTATAGTACAAAGCCTCTGTGGAAGCTTTCATTTTAGAAGTTCCTTTTCATCTGCTTGAGAAATTAACTTTATTTCCTTTTTGATAAAAGAGAGGATTTCACAAAGATTATTATTTCATTTAATGTGAGATTATTTGGTAACTTATTTATTTGTAGAAATTAAGCTCCAGGGGCAGAAAAGTAGCTTGCTCAAGTTCAGACAATCTGTAAAGGTCAGATTCTGTAGTAGAATTCAGGTTAGATTGATGTGAATTTGTCTACTGTGGCACTCTATCTGTATCAACTGTTAGCTGTTAGCTATAGTTTTGTCATATAAAGAAATGATGAAGAAACCTTTTGTGAATTCAGGATTTTTAATTGACTGATAATCATCCTGCCAATAAAAATTTCATCTCACTATAGCTTTTTTGCATATATTATTATCCTATGGTATAGTATATGTAAGATCTTTGAATAAAGATATCTTAAACATTTTAAAATCTTCTGTACTACCTAAAAGGTAAGGAAAGTAGGCAGGAAAGAAACTATCAGGTACTTTGTAGATAGTGTTCAATGAATTTTTTGTTTGAATTCATGGGTTTTGGAAAAAAAGGAGAGGAAATGGTATATTTCTCGCTTATGTCCATTTCAAAATGCTGTTTCTGGTGGGTTTCTTCACAGTGGTGGTTTGGGGGCTCTTTCCATTATATTTCCTGTGCCATTTTTTAATATGGCTTTGAAGACTGCTACCGAAGGGGAAAGATCATGGAGTGTTGCATTTGGGAGGGATTTTGAGGGACAGGCATAGATGGATGCAGCACATTATCACTTCTATTCGTATTTCCTTGGCCAGAAGTTAATTACCTGGCCATACTGAACTGCAAGGGAGATGGGAAAGTTTATCTCACTGTGTCTAAGAGGAGAAGGACACAGGTTGGGTGAATAATAGCTAGGTGCTGGCACAGTCTACCCTTCTGGTTATCAACTCTCTCTTCCCTCATGCTCTCATTCATAGAACACGCTTGCCCTTTCCTTAGGAGAGGCAAAGCAATACCCCCTCCAGTCACTAACATCGTCTCAAGTCTAGTGTCTTCCTGATGAGCTCGACATTCTCCATCAGATCCATATCGGTCTCTTCAAGGGCTGGTGATCAAGAACTAGGATATCAAGTTATCTGGACTTGTGTTCCCACCCACCCCCATTGCACAAGGAAGAAGCAAGAATAGAATACAAAAACAAGTCCCGCGTGGGAGAGGGAATAATGAGAGGCACACGGTATTCCCTCCTTCATAGCAAACCATGTACTCTTGTTGGGCTGGCCTTGGGAAATCCTTCTGCCTTGGTAGTGGGGACCTTCTTGCTTAGACAGTAACTCCTTGCCCATTGTTCTCCTGGACTCCTGGTTGCACCCTGGTTTTTGTTTGTTTTTTTCCCTTTTTTTCTACATGCACTTCTGAAGTTGATGCTGGGGAATATACCTTCCTTAGAAGGTTTCTTTCTTTCTCTCTCTGTACATCTACATTTATATTCCCTCCCTTCCTCCCTTTTTTCCTCTGCCTGCTTTCTGCTTCTTGCAAGTTTTGGGCCCTGAAAGTTGTTTTAGATCTGTGAACAGTCAAAGGTTTATTTAGTCTAAATTTATGGGTTTTTGGCATCATAGATGTTACCTCAAAACTCAGTAGGCCTTTGATCTGTTTCTTTCCATCAGGGTCTATGTGGGCATCATACCCAGTTTTCTTTCCTAAATACAATTTTTTTTCTTTTCCCTTGTTTGGGTAGGTAGTGGAGGTAGGGTAGCATAGCCCTTGCCTCATGTCACCATCTTTAATGGCTCTGTTTCGAGGCTGTATGAAGAAATGTGTGGGAAGACCATACTTGAATCTGACCTCTGCCTCAGGATTGAGTCACTTTGGTTCAATTAGAAGTCTTCTTGGGGTTTTCTTCCTCAAACCTTTACCTTTCTTTTCTCTTACTGTTTAGGATCTATATGTGTTTAGCTTTATTTATAACCTTCTGGAACCTGAGTCCTGGGCTTCCATTTCTTATAAGCTCAGTTTGCAAATCAGCAAATTCTTCTCTGTGCTTATCTCTTTTAGGTAAACCTTGCTAAAAGCAGAAAGTAAATGCCTATATACACTGTGACGATCCATTCACTTGTAGAGCTGTAGTAGGCATGTGGTGTGCCTTTTTACTTGCTATAGTTATCTGTTTTCCCAACTGTTTTGTCATACTATCACCGGGCTCTCCAGGTTTTCGACTTGTGAAATATATATTCTTACTGCCTACTGCCTAGTCTTTTAACCAATGCTGTTTAAGTTTCTTTATTTTTATTTTTGTATAGCAACCCTGTTCTTCCAACACCAGTTTCTGTTTTCCTTAATAATGCTGTCTGCTGTTATAGCTAAGCTCCAACATCTCGCCATAGAAGTTTTATTTTTAACTGATGTAAAGTTCAAAATGGATGTTCTGGTAGGGTGGCTCTTCTCCAAGTGATGATCATCAAGTATGCAGGTCTCTTACAACTTGTGGTTTTACCACTTCAACCTATCACTTCCAATGTTACAGTAGTAGGGAAAGGAGAATAATAAATAATGCTTGGAGGTTTATTATAAACCAGGCTTGTAAGTGACACATATCACTTCTGCCAACATTACACTGGCCATAGCTTATATACTGCAAGTGAGGTTTGGAAATAGAGTCTATTTGTGTGACCAGGAGGAAGAGGAAATAGCTTTGGAAATAGCTAGCTAGTCTCCTCTATAAGATGCTATTATACAGCCTAGAAAAATACGTATCTTCCATGCCTCTTGCCTGTTTTCTTAAGAAAATATATCTGTGACATTTCTCCCCAAGTGTTTGCATTCAAATTTTAATTTGATTTTTAGCATTGTCAGTGCTGCGCTTCAGTATTTTATTCGTACTATTTTTAGTTCAGCCACCAAAGTTTTGGTCTTAAAGAATTAGTTCTTGTTCTTTAAAAAGAAACAAACCTTCTTTAGAACACATGAGAAAACATATGAGAGTTTTATTTGTATTGACAGTTGGTCTGGGCACTTCTAGAAATTAGGTAGGTGAGTATGCTTATTTCTTGGTGGAATCTCCCTTTTCCCTCTTCCATTCACTGTATCCTGGGTTGCTACAGTGGCCGATGGGGTGAGCTTTGTCCTTGGTACAGTGAAATGACAGAGGCAGTTCGTAAATTGGCTCCTCTTTGTGATATACCAGCCGAAACAAACTGCTTGAACAGCTCCACAATAACTGAGCTTTAATGAACAAATTAGGCTTCAAACTTTTATCTGAGATTATAATTTCCAACTGTTGTCCAATTTTATGAAAAAGAACAAGCAGAAAATACTATTTGAGGATGATCTGAAGGATATACAGTTTATTCATTTGTCTGTGTTTGTCTGATACCATGATTTAGCCTTTGGATCTAGGCAACAGTGGTATAGTCTGCTTTAAAATGGTGTCTAGGAAAAGTTGCTGAATCTTCCACCTGTCTTTCAGTATACCTGGAAAGCTGCAGAAAAGTAAGAAAATGTGCAGTTACGATCACTAGGTTAGAAGCTCAATCATTTAGCAACATCTGAGGAGAAATTTTAAAACTGTCCATTCTATTCTTTATTGCCAATTGAATTTTAAGTTAGGCAGTTATGTTTTTATTTTTTTTAAGAAATCATGTTCTTAAAAAATATATGTTTATATATGTTTAACATGGTATTGGATTGAAAGTATGTAGTGGACCACCTGTGGGTCTGCCATCGAAAGAGCCATTTTTAAAGTAGGT